TTAATCCGGCTATACCCTTTGATCAATTTTGGACAAGCCGCTTTTAAGTAATTTAAGAAAAGCTGCATTTATTTTTAAAATAAAACTGAACAGGTAAATGCCAACATATCTTACGTTGTCAGGCAAATTTTAAATTACAAAAATACATTTCGGGGAAACTAATAAGTGTAGGTACTATAATATAGTACTGTAGACAGCACAAATTACATTTGACAATGATAAAAAACATTATCATTGTCAAATGTAATTTGTTGTGCATTTGACTGGTGTTGCATTGTTACCTATTCAGTTTTAATTTAAAAATATATGCAGTTTTTCTTAAATTACTTAAAATCGGCTTATCCAGAATTGTTCAAATTTGTCAAGTGTATTCAGCTTAGGCAGACCTTTAAAAACCCTATTTAAACTAAGCTGTAAAATTAATAGGAGAGCCAATATATTTGGACAGTTCAAAATTTGCATGGTATTTCTTATGTTTCCAACGAAAAGAAAATTCTTGTTCATTAAATTAAATATTCTGAATATAACTCCTAGAAAAAATAACTTATATTCTTGTAGTTTTTTTTTCTAGGAATTTAGCATAATAATCTAATACTCTAATAAGCAGTGAATTTTATTTAAGCTATGCAAATGATATTTATTATCTTAAAATAACCTACCAATGCAATGGCTACACACACATTTTTGTTTTGTTTTGTTTTTTTGGTGACATTAATCGTTGCAAGCTTGACAATGTTTTTTTTGGTATTTGTTCTTGGTGGTAGTGCGTCTTTTTTTTTCCTGTTTTATCACCGATTCCCGAACTGAATAAAATTATTTTTCCATTCTTTTCAGAAGTAATGCATAAGTTTATTTAAAAACCGCGACACAAAGATGATCCCCCTTCAATGAGAGATAAAATAATAAGGTACTAGCAATAAGGTTTTTATTTTTGTATTTTTTTATGTATTGTGTTCTTTTTCAACAGTATTTTCCGTTTTTTAGAAGTGATTTTTGTTAAGAGAAAAAATAACTCATCTTAGAACTAAGAATTATTTTTTAGCGATAGATTAAAAACAAATTTCGTTAGAGTTGACTTGGAAATGAAGATCGCTGTCAGTTTAAAGCCAGCTAGACGCCGTTTTTTCGATCATACGGTATATAAATTCCGTTGTTTCTAAGATAAGTTATTTATATTGAAAATTCACTTCTTATATTAATTTAGCCGTAGTCTAACTCTAATTTATTGAAGCTAAGTACAAATACTTAATATAATCAACGAATTATTATATATTAGAAGTCTATTAATATATAGAAAATATATATATTTATTCCAAAAGAGAGTAGTATTATCAAAAACAATAATTTGATTGTTAATAATTAGAAGTTTTGTATTAATTATTATATAGGCTTTATATAGATTTATTAAAAAAATATATAACCTCCAAATAATTTTATGCTAATACTTTTTTTAAATAAAACCACTAAACATTTCGATCATTATAATTATTGAATGTAATTTTATTTCGTAGAAAAATATGTACAAAAAATATAAAACAAAAACTATCTTCTTAAACGTCTACGAACATGGTGATTAACACTATGGTTTAGTGTAATTATTATCGTTAATATTAATTAATTAATTATTTTAGGCATGCGTATTTTTATAAAATACGAGTATATATTATATTATACAGGAAGTTATAGTAAGCCCTGTATATTTTTATTCAAAAGAATAGTTTCAGTCGATGGAGAAATAAGCGATATGTTGTATTTTTATAATTGTACGGGGTGTTATAATAAATATATCCGTAAATATAAATTTTAGAAAGAAGGGTAAATTATGATAGTTTTAGAATTTTATTAGTTTGTTTGAAATATAAGGCATACGCCCCACGTTGGGCACCAAAGTATGAAGTGACGATTCAGTCAAAACTCTAAATGTTCTATAACTTGAACTTATATCTAAAACGAATATTTACAGAGACAGATGTTGGCTAAAATATGCATAACACCCTGTACGCAATCAGTTAAATACTTTGAATTTTAAGTTGGAATTATCGTAAGAATTGAAATATTATTTTGATGAACACTTTCCTTACTTTTAAGGCCTTCTATTACAAAAAATTGCTCATCTATGGATGGATTGCCGTATGATTCTATATAAGGTACTTATGTGCAAAAGGCGTGTGATATTATTGTATACTAACTATCCTTAAGCCCTATGATCCAAAAAGTTTTATAATTATTTTTATAAAATCTCAATTATGAAACTTTTTGATCATAATGTATGATACATCTAAAATGTAAAAAACAACATCTACAATGATAAATGAGTGATTGGTGAACGTTTTGTATACTAGTCAATGAAATTACATCTAAAAATCTACATATAAACGTTAAAATATCTAATTTTAGCCTCATCGGAATCAGTTCTATCTAGAAAGTTTTTTAGGCCTTTCTTTTTTTGGAAGCCTCGTATACTTACACAGGGCGCCCAAAAAGACTTTATAAATCAACAAAGCGTGTCCAACGAGTCGAGGAAGGTTTCGATAGACGTCATATAAAAATTTACAGAAAATACAAGTTACCTATGAATTAATTATTATTATCTCGTAATCTAGTAAAGTATGTCCAACAAGAAGACAATGGCAGCGATGTCTGTCATTTTAATTCATGGGCAATTTGTTATTTTCTGTCATTTTTTTGATGCCGTGTTTTGAAATCTTGCCTGACATGTTGAACCGACTTTACCACCCTGTATCTATCAGCATACTATGTTTCATATATTAATATTTTAAGATTTTTTTTAAGTTTTTCTTCAGAATATTCGTTAATTATTTTATTAAATGTTCATTGGCAATAGTTAAATTTTGGCAAGATTTTTTTGTCCAAGTGACTCGGAAATCAACTGAAAATTTATATATTATGAATGTCAAAGGATACTACGGTATTATAAAATAAAAAAAGATGTCAGAGTAGGCTTAGCGAAATTATATTACAGTTGAATCTCGATAGTTACTGTTCATAGCTTAAAATCTTGATAATGACAGCTGATCGTGAGTTAGTGTCAAAGCTTAAAACAATATGTAAGGAAAAAATGTTTCCAGCATATTTATTTCTTCTTTTAAATATAATATTTTTTTTAAAAAGCTAACCAAACTCGTCATCTTGCCCTTGCCACTGTTCAAAGTAAAATATTACTATACCTACTGTATTTTTTTCAGTCACACAGTATACTGGCTATCTTAGTAGGCTTGTAAGAGAAAATTTGAATTTTTCAGGGTAACAATCATACTTAATAATGCCATACGATCGAAAAAAACGGCGTCAAGCACAGCCGAGGAATGACAATCGATAATAATTTTGGCGAGGTCAAGCCCTAGACGTCATTTACTTATAATTCGAAAAAAAAAATTCTTTCGAAATGTTCTATCCTTTTTTAATCGTTCTATAATTAGTGTTAATTTTTGAAAAGTTTTATGTCAATTTTTAGTAAGCGACGTCTAGAGAATGACCTCGCCAAAATAATCATCGATTATCATTTCCCAGCGGTCTTTGATGCCGTTTGTTAGATCATACTGTATTACTATGCCTACTATAATGTATTGTTTCTTTAATCACACAGTTTTACGGCTGTCTTAGTACCCTTGTAACTTGTAAGTGTAAATTAAACTTGATTTTTTCAGAGAAACAAACACACCTAATAATAGTAGGTATCTGGTATGTTTTGACTCCGACTTTATAAACTACACCCTGTATATTTAGTATAGGTATATTTGAAATGACTTCCCAATTCTCATTCAAATTTGTCCAACAAGAGGAGATAAATGACACTAATGACAGTGATAGTTGTTTTCTGTCATATTAAACCACAGATAAATTGAATATTCTGCAACATAAAAAATATACAGAGCGTCAGTTAAAAGAAATAAGAGAAAACGTTCTCATTAAACCGAAAGTTGTGCCCGCTTTTGTGTGTCTACTACCCTGAAATATCTAAAACTTTGTACACCAATTGCTGTCCTCCTTTCACGCAGTTGAGCAGCTCTGAACTGTTCAAGAACGCGATACTCACTCCATTGAATTGAGGCATAAGGTTCCAGAACTGTTCCGCGCCATATGGAGGCACGAGGCTATCGCGCACAGCTCCTTTCAGAACCGTTCTCGAGTAGCCCCAGGGCGTAAAGCCAGGGTACTCGAAGTTCGCGAATGGAGGACAGCAAATGATGTATCCCTTCGTAAAAGACACTTGGATGTAACAAATTAATAATGCAACCGTATAAAAGGTTGATTCTCACTATACCTTCCATTTCCAGTCCATATCTGTTCCGTATTTTTGGTTGTATTATACGTAAGCTTCCGTTCCATATCAGTTCCATACTTTTTATTGCAGAATTTATATCATTACGAAAGCTTTATTTTAAAAATTTGTATCTTTTGAAAAAGGTAATAGATTTAATTAAGAGGTGAAAGAATAAATAAATATCAGCAAAATGTTCACAGAGCTGGTACAAATGTAAGAACTTGACAACGCTGTTTCCGATACGCTTTAGTCCGCCAAAAAAATGTATGGAAGGGAAGGATACGGAACGGAAGGGAAACGGAACGGATAGTCTGCTTTGTCCTATTCATTTACATGATATAATATTTTATGTAAACGGAAGGTAGCTGATACGGAAGGTATAGTGAGAATCAACCTTAATAATGCTTCGAATTTTCGCTCCAAACCAAACGAAAATGCATTTTATTCAAAAACTAAAGATACCAGCTAACAAAACGATTATTCCGTAACTCTCTACCGAAATAATAATAAAATAAAACATTAAACAACATCTAAACAAATGAAAATGAACAGTGAAATGATAGGCTGGGTTAGGTGACGCAATCGTGTCTCAGCGCGTGACGGACTCCCCCCTGTCGTCCCTAGGCGGTGGACTGCGGTAATTAGCCCTAATGTGCAGGTACTTTGAGGCGTCCTTGACCGTCCTGTCCGGACTGTCCCTGGACACGACCTTCACCTGGCAGGGGTCGTGACGTAGCAGGAAGTGATCGAGGGTGTCCCAGCCGCCGCCCACTCTGACCATCATGTGCCTGCCCTTCAGAAGCTGCAAGGAAAAGGGTATCATTCTCAGGAAAAAAATATTGTCAGGACTAAGATTTAGGCCGACTTGGGTTTATAACAGTTTTGGAAAAAACTCATATAAAATCAAAAACATCTAAATAAAGGGGAGACAAATCTCTCCATTCATAAAGCTATTTGTTTACATCATACATACTGTAACACTTTTATGTGAATTAAAAAGAGATGGTACGTAAAAGTAATGAATGTTGATGTGAAGTCCTTGTCTTGTAACCAGAGATGTATTTACGCATGGGCGACAAGCATGCATCTTTCAATTAGTATTACAGTTCGTCTGCTGGATCTGCGTCTATGAAAGGAATGTGGACAAAAAACATTTAAATAAACAACAATATATTTTATACGTCGACTTGACGAGTACGTCACCGCAAATCGCTCCGCCCACTCATTTTATTGGCTACTTGCAAATTTGTCGAATTTTTATTGATGGGACGCGTCGTCTAATTTTTTACGGAAAAGATCGAGAGAATATCGTTCCCCTCTCACGGATACCCCGTAGCTACAGAACGGACAGACGTACTGTATATGTTATAAATTCATGTATTGTAATAAAGCCTACTTAATTATTAATTTTCTTCCTACAACAAAAAAATAATAGTTTAGATTTAGGTTTTATACAACCTTAATTGGACATCCCTGGTTTTTCCTTGTTTTGTTTTGCATTTTGACATTTTTATTTCGGTATTTCAGAATATGGCGATAATTCACAATATTAGTAATTCAGAATTGATAGCACCTAATATATATTTTTCTAATTATTCGATCGAAAATAACATATTTCTTTAAAAACACTAAATTGCATTTTTCTCGGCTCCAATTAAAATGGACAAAACTGGGTATTTCCATGTAGTCTTCAAATGGTGTTGTTTTGGAATTTATGGATTTATACGAAAATGAGCCCTTCATATGGACGGCCAAACATAAAGAACATAGAAATCGTATTGCAGTGTACAGGGTGGACCATTTTGGTTGTTTCTATAGGGTATCTAGGAAACCGTGAGAAATATTCAAATTTTGATACTGCAGTGTCGGGTTCCTTTAAAAAAAATACAATGGCGCAAACAGATCGTGGCTATCTTGATCGGTTTCAAAGCTACAGGGGGATTCTCAGATTTTGTACTTTTTGAAGATGTTCGATAGTTTGTTTATTTCAGCCCAACCACGGAAAAATGAATTATACATTCTAAAGGCATTTTCTGTGTAGAATGCAGTGGCGTAGTCAGACTTTTTTCGAAAAAAATATTTTTTGAGATATTATAATTATACTTATGTTTTTTTTAAATAGAATCCCCTCTATATTTTTAAATTTTCTTATTCAGCTTAGTATGGGCTTCTTGAAAATATATATCACTCTATATTTATTTTCACTATTAACCTCAACATTTCAAATTTTTCTTAAAATATCCACTTAGTAGATAGTACATGATAATGTTTCGGACGCTGTTTTTGAAAAGATCCAAAATTGATTAAACTATCTTCTAACCTTTTAAAAATGGCTGGGTTTGGTTGCTAGCGCTCTGGATACCGCTCAAAATATAAATCAGCTGCCATTTGCTGATGTTTGTTAGACTCAATATAACATTCTAACATATTATATTTCTCAAAATTTTTAAATTTACTCATTTTTTATTATTTAAAATACACACACTTCAATCTGTTGAAATGAAATGTCCCGCATCCATCAAAGGTATGTTCCGATCACCATGACAACCCTTTACTTTGTTACTCGGCGCGGCCTACTATCTACTAAGTGGATATTTTAAGAAAAATTTGAAATGTTGAGGTTAATAGTGTAAATAAATATAGAGTGTTATATATTTTCGGGAAGCCCATGCTAAGCTAAATACGAAAATTTAAAAATATACAGGGGATTCTATTTAAAAAAAACATAAATATAGTTAATATCTCAAAAAATATTTTTTTCGAAAAAAGTCTGACTACGCCACTGCATTCTACAGAGAAAAGTGCCTTTAGAATGTATAATTAATTTTTCCGTGGTTGCTGAAATAAACAAACTATCGAACATCTTAAAAAAGTACAAAATCTGAGAATCCCCCTGTAGCTTTGAAACCGATCAAGATAGCCACGATCCGTTTGCGCCATTGTATTTTTTTCAAAAAAAGAACCCGAGACTGCAGTATCAAAATCCGAATATTTCTCACGGTTTCCTAGATACCCTATAGAAACAACCAAAATGGTCCACCCTGTACAGTAAAAGAACTTAAAAAGAATCACTAGCAACGACAATTTCAGGACGACCGGTATCCATAGATCCGACTATACTGTTTACTTGCCAAGGATTTAAACAATGTTTGTGCTGGCGTACTTGTTAAAATGGATACATCGTGTGAGCGCCACACTTGCCGAAGTTGTTTACAAAGTGGGGAGTGTGGGGATACTTGCCAAGTACGCAAATACTGGCGTACTTGCCAAGTAGACGAGTCGTGAGAGTGCGCCTTTAGACATTTAAAAATACTTTAAACAGTTCTTTTGCAAAAAAAAACAATAAACAATAAAAATTACTTGACAACACTGCAACGCAATCCGCAGAAATTTGGCATCACTTATTTTTGTTGAAAACGATGTTTGATCGCTAACACGCTATAAAATGTCGATAGTTTTGTCTCTCTTTATTTAGATGTTTTTGTGTAAAATATAACTTCACTCAGCCAATTTGATGTAAACCCAATGGATAACAGTTGCACTGACCATCGTTTTTGGTCATACCTACAGTATAAAACATGAAATAAATATTCGGTAAGTAGTACTTCAACTTACACGGATGAAAACATTTTTTCCGGCGATGTTGTACTTTCCTTCGCCAACTTTCCTCACTTTTAGTTTGTCGCACTTGCCGCTAGCACAGTTGCAATTCCGTTGCATCAGCCTAGCTGCCAGCTGCACCTTCCTGTCCAGTTCTGTGGTCAAGTTTTGGGTCGGTGTGTCTCCTCCACCTAGAAGAATGAAGAAATAAGATAAAAAAAAGATAAATTCGTATGTATATGCAAGCGTGAGCTTGGTTTTCGTTGAATACAGCTGGTGGAGTTAGTTTATTGTCTTTTAGAGCAAAAATAATCATAATGTTGGTGTAATATTAGTTACCTATATACACCAACTCCAAAGTTCCTTGTCTAAACTCTTGTATAAATATTTTTAAGGTCTAAACATTTGGAAGAAAATTACTTAATGTGATACAAATTAGTAAACAAATTATAATACTAAGGGTTGGCAAAGGTTAGTCTTGGGTCGAGATTTCCGTATGCAAGAAGAGTGCAATGCGTTTATAATGTACTGAACAAAGAGAGGACAGTAAACACGTTGCCAAACGTATGAAATAAACCGAGAAACTGTGCACATCGCTAAGAGACGTGGAAGGGGATATAGCAGATTTGTCGCAGTTGACCGGTCGACCCAATCAATACCCCTGTCAGTACTTAAAGTTCTAGGGAAAGATGTACGTCATGCGTTCAGCTTCACGATTTAATTACGTCTCGTGATACTTAATTTGTTTATTTATTAACGAGTCGTTGTAATTTTCCCTATAGCTTATTTTTTTTTAAGTGCAAGCTAGAAACACTTGCATTTTTGGTAAAAATAAATGGAATTGAGTGGGTATTCGATAGTGGTTGCGCTATTAGAACTCTGAATTCAAAAATCGATATCCCGAAATCTATTAGAAATAATAGATTGTAGATTTTTCAACAACTTTTAAAAATAACCGGTTTGCGATCGCGATTTTACTTTACTTGATAGGGAAAGGCGTATCGGCAACGCCGCAACAGCAAACCGTCGCGCGTCGCGTCGTTCGGTCACATATCTCTCACTCCGACTTAATAAGATCCCTATGCGATTTACTTCCACACATGTAAATGCCGACCCAAAAGTAATAGTTGCCAGCACGGTATACAATATACAACACCATACCAAAACATCCTTGCACATAAATATTTTACCTTTACTATCCACGCTTCTTCTTCCGTTATCCACCACGTCCAGATCTGGATCCTCCGGACTGCCACCCGACCATTCCTCGTCCTCTGTGTGATCGCTGGGCACTCCATCACTGGCTCCCCCTGTGTTTTTGATCGCCGGAAGTGAACTGAGCGCTCCGGAATCGCCGGCTCCTCTACTATCTCTCGGATCCTGGATCAAGATCACTCTGGGTCCGGTGTTCCAGCGTTCGGCGTAGTGGGATATGGCAGAAGTGGATCTAAATAAGAAATATTATTACTGATTCCGTCAAATAAATAGCAAAATTAGCGTTCAATATTTAACGTTTTATGTAAAACTGGCTAGGTATTTTTAACACAAATGAAGAAGGAAATTAAAGATAAAGGATTATACTATATCCGTATTGTAACAGATTTTTAGACAACTTCTTTATTTTTAAGATTTTGTTGGTCAAACATCAACAAAATATTACTTATGTTTGGACTAAATTTACTCGAAAATAAAGATATAATTTAAAATTCCGTTACAATACGGAAATAGATTGAAGTTTTGTAATTACAGTGATATATAATTTATATTGTTTTGTAACAAATTGCTCGCTATTTTGTGGCAAATGCTGAAGCTCTGCAAACCTTAATCAAAGCACGTGTGTTTGGAATTTTGGGTGTGGCTTAACACGACCGGATCGGGCTAAGCCTCAGGCAGATTTCTGAAATATCACCTAACCTAACCCGCTTTACCCGACCGCTGGGAGTGACACGAAAATACAGTTATAGACTCTTAAGAAACACCCTGTATACCTGCTGTGGCTCATTTTCATCTCCCCATCCATGCGGGGCGGACTGGCCTGGAATTGCCAGGATAAAAGCGAACTAAGTCCGGAGTCCCCGGAGTTGTTCCTTTCCTCCTCTGCAATCTCTTTTTCCAGCTGGACCAATCCGGGAGGTTCCACGCCGAATTTCGTCGCTATCCTGGCTACTTCCAGGAGGCATAAGATGACGCTGCGTGGATGGTTGTGTAGAACTAGAAAAACATATCTATTAAATCGACAAAATAAATTCAAAAAAGTACAAAAATAAACAATCAACAACTGGGACTGCCCTACAACTAAAAAACTTCTTTCTCTTGATAGACTATGTATGCTGTTCCCTTCTGTACATTGTTGTATGGACCGTCGAGACAATGTCACAGGAGCAGTTTTAAGTTTAGGCTTGTCATTAGAAGAAGAGTAATAAATCCCCCCCCCCCCAGATTCATTAATGATTACTTATTTCTCCGGATAATTTTGGTTATTTAGTTTGACTAGGCTATCATGTGAACTTCACAAACGGTTATTATTATTTCCCTTTGTTCAATTAATTCCAGTACATTAGGCGCTATAGGTCTATCATTATAAATTATTAAAAACTAGTTGAAGCCTAGCGCATCCGCCACGACATCAGGAAAAAAAACCTTTTTATTTTTTGTTTAATTAAATGAAAAACAAAAAATCCGGCGACGACAGTTTTTAGAAGAGCCAATTAGCTATCTTTTAGTAAAAAAAAGCAACTTTCTAGAGCAAGTCGTTACTTCAGTAGAGACGACACAGCATTAGCATTTTATATATTAGCATTTTATATATTATGTAGATGACTATTATGTAGTAGTATTACTTAATCTTTTGCATTTGTTCCCTTCTTGTAAGACTGACAATGGTAGTTGTATAATGTTTTGTATTCTCTTTTGTTTGTTTGTTTGTTTATTTTGTTTGTTTACTTTACATTTGTCTACAAATTGTAAAATTTTTTGACAATAAATAAGGCCATTTATTTATGGTTAAAATAAACAGTATTATTACTTTCAGGTATATTTGCAATAATTTTTTTATAACCATAACAAAATAAAATATGTTTCTCTAAAAGAATTGTTGGTTTTATTACCTAAATCGTCGCTTTCAAACAGTAGATTCTCATGAACTCCTATCGATTTGCAAAACTTGAGGAAGTTTGCCACGTTGTCTCTGGAGAAAAAGCTCCTCCTCATGGCTTTTTCGAAACATTTACCTCTCACGCTTGGTATATTCTGAAACAGAGAGGAGAATAATAAATATCCATATCACACATAAGATAATTATACATATAGAAATTCATTCAAAATAACCAAGATATTCTAACTATACCGTATGATCGAAAAAAAGACGGCGTTAAAATGGATATAAAGTTTACCAAAAATTAACACTAGTTATATGAGGATTAAAAAAGGATAGAACGTTTCATTACCTACGGGCCGAGTAAATGATGTCTAGGGCTTGACCTCGCCAAAATTATCATCGATTGTCATTTCTAGGCCGTCTGTAACGCTGTTTTTCTTTTCGATCGTTTGACAGTTTATTGCATGTTCGATAATTAAATTTAAATTTTTAAAATGTATGGAGAAATATCCTATCACATAAATATGCTGAACCACCCATGTTCTGCTCTACTATTATACAGGGTGGTCCAAACTGTATTCCGGAAACTTCGGCGGCATATTCTGCAGATAAAAATAACTAAAAAAGTTCGTATAAATGTATGTTCTAAAATGCTTCGTTTCGGAGATACAGGGTGTAGAAGTGTTATTTTTATTTCGATTTTTTCCAAATAATTTCTGAAATAACATCATTATTTTTTTAGTATAGTATATTTTTTACTCAGTAGTTTTATACAAGTACGGTCGAAAAGTTATTACTCTTCAAACCAGTTAAAAAATATGTAGGTGGCGTCCTCTACAAGTAGGAGTCATATTGACATCAAAATCAAAATAATCACGTCAAAAAACTCCCAAACACCAAATTTCATCTAAATATTGGCGTTACCTCAGAAATTATTTGAGAAAAATCGAAATAAAAATGAAACTTCTACACCCTGTATCTCCGAAACTAATAATTTTAGAACATACATTTATACGAACTTTTTTATTTATTTTTATCTGCAGAATATGCTGCCGAAGTTACCGGAATACAGATTGGACCACCCTGTATATTAACTGAGCTCTTTGAATCTAATTTGAATAATATTCTAATTCATCTGCCCAACATACTTCTGGTCACAATCCTTTTCAAAACTTTAAAAAAAAATATTTTTCAAAATAAATGTTGTAAAAGAAGATTTTGTAGAAATTCCCATTTAAAGTAGGGTTTTACCTACCCCTTTGACTAAACCAGCCTTCGAAGCCCTCTTGGCAGCTTCGCAGATTATTTGGGCTAAGTGGCATATAACGACGCCATTATCCAATTCAGATAGGAAGTTATCTCTGTTTATGTAATCGATTCCTGAAACAAATAAAAAAATTATAATCAGCTTTTACACGTTGATAGCTAATATACTATATCACTTTTCGTCTGTACCTGTATAAAACTACTGAGTAAAAATATACCGGGTGTTGCATCGTCGGACGGGACATAGGAAATCCCATGTAAATTTTATTGTGGTCAATTATTGGCTTCCCTACTAAAACCATTTCAACATTCAAAAGAATAACTTTAGATATTTTTGATTAGCTCGTTTACGAGTTATCGCCGATTTCTTTTTAAATATTTCTCCTTTTTTATGGCCCTGTATTTCCTTATGAGCACCAGTCAAGGTAAAAGATAACTGTCAAATGAAGTTGTCATTTCAGAAATTTACCTATTTAGTGCTTTATTATTATTGAAAACTCATTCCTACATCGGAAATCTTAAAGATGTATTTATAAATACAAATTAATATGAATTAAAGTAAAATAAAGTAATCAATTACAAGGTTAATTATAGTATTATTACAATATTCAATAACTTATTAATTTAGGTACTATTAAATTGTTAGAACTTTAGGATTTAAGAAGTTGTTCCAATATTCCTCCATCGACTGCTAGACAATAATCCAGGCGATCATAAAATTCTCTTCTTACATTCGCTAGTTGGTAAACTGAAATTCTATTGCATTCGGCAGAAATAGCATTTTTTAACTCGTCTAGATTTGGGTATTTTGTTATCCTTGTATATCCTGTTTTTTAAATGGCTCCAGAGAAAGAAATCATATGGCGAAATATCAGGAGACGTTGCTGGCCAATTTACTGTATGATTTAGGCCAATAACGTTTCCAGTTTCCGTTAAAACTATTGTCTAAATATTCCCGGGGTACTATGTGCCGGGCAGCCATCCATTTGGTACCAAACTTCCTGATTTTCCCTAGCGGCGTCATGTAAAGCAGGTAAAATATGATTTTCGAGTAGGTAGTTCCAAATAATATTCTGCATTTAAATTTCACGTAAGAAATAATGGACCGATAATATTGTGTCCGAATATCCCTGCCCAAATATTTACTTTCTGTGGATATTGCGTCCTTGTTTCGACAAACCTGTGTTGGTTTTCTTTGTTCCAATATCGATAATTTTGAACATTGGGTTCATTATTTAAGGTAAACGTGCATTCGTCAGTGAAACATATGTTTTTCAAAAATTCCCTATCCGTGTTTGCTCTTTCCATCATATCAAAACAAAACGCCTGCCGCCGTATTTCGTCCCCATCTCGTAGCTATTGGTGCTTTTCACATTTGAAGGAATAGTATTTATGTCGTTCCAAAATTCGAAACGCTGTAGTGTGATCTATTCCTATTTCATCCTCAAGTTTCCTTGTGCTGATCTTTCCATCGTTCTCTTCCACGCACAATAAAACTTCCAAGTCGGTATCATTTCTTGCATCTTCTCTTTGTTCCTGCCTTGCTTCACATCTGCAGTTATTTATTAGGGTACCTTTGGTCTCAAATCTCTGGATATTCCTTGCGATTGTAGATTTTCCAGGTATCGGTCTATTCGGATACAGAGCAGCAAATCGACATGTCCGACATCTTTTGATAACTATTTCTTTGATAATACCATTGAATCATCAATACTTTTTCTTCGGTAGTGTAATTCATGGCTAATATTTTCGATGTAGGTATGAGTTTTTAATAATAATAATAAAGCACTAAATAGATAAATTTCTGAAATGACTTCATTTGACAGTTATCTTTTACCTTGACTGGTGCTCATAAGTAAATACAGGGCCATAAGAAAGGAAAACTATTTAAAAAGAAATCGGCGATAACTCGTAAACGAGCTAATCAAAAATATCTAAAGTTATTCTTTTGAATGTGGGTTTTAGTGCTCTTCAATAAACCCAAATAAAATTATTCTCTAAAATAATTAGGGAAGCCAATAATTGACCCCATTAAAATTTACATGGGATTTCCTATGTCCCGCTCGACGATGCAACACCCGGTATACTTTTACGACATTTTTTACGTAAAAAAGGTCTCTTGTTAGAAATCGCTACTAGTAATGGTTCTCGAGATATTTGGAATCGAAATTATCAATACCTGTCATCATTGACATAAATTAAACATGTTGATTAAATAGTTATTAGACTGAAATCATAAATTTGAAATATTTTTATGTCAAAAGTTTAACAAAAACTGTTTTATCATCATTTATTAGGAAAAAAAAATTATGATTATGATTTAAAAAAATAAAAAGTACCCAAATTTATCATTTCAGTCAAATAAATATCTACTCTCATGTTTATCTTATTGTCAATAATGGCATGTTTTGACTATTTCTATTCTAAATAACTTGAGAGCAGTTGCTCGTAGCGATTTTTATCAAGAGACGTTTTTTACGTAAAAAATTACGGAAATGTACATTTTTTCACTCAGTAGTTTTATACAGGTACAGACGAAAAGTTATTACTCTTCAAAACAGTTAAAACACATGTAGATGGCGCTCCTACTAATACGAGTCATATTGACGTCAAAATCAAAGTTCTCATGTCAGAAAACTACCAGACACCAATTTTCATCCAAATATTGACGTTACTTCAGAAATTGCTTGGAAAAAATAAAACTAAAAACGGAACTTCTACACCCTGTATCTCCGAAACTAAACATTTTAGGACATACATTTACACGAACTTTTTTACTTATTTTTTTCTGCAGAATGTGCTGCCGAAGTTTCCGGTATACAATTCGGACCATCCTGTATAATAGACAATGGGTCTGATGAATAAAGAGAAGCAATTGCTTTTTCTATAGAACTATCTTTGTTGGTTGTTTACAAATTGTATAAGTCTATTTCAAGAAATTTAAGTAAAAGCATTTGCTTAACTTTTATTCATAAGACCCATTATTTAAACGGAATAATGTGTATCTCCAAATGACATATTTTAATCATTTAATCGACAACAAAACATCTGATTAAATTATTTAAGCCATCGACATAACACAAGAAAAACATGTGTTGCCATTAATTCAATTAAAAAATCACGAAGCGTGTCGTACCGAAGAATAGTTAGTATCTCTTGACCGGATTAAATGCTACGGGTGAATTAAATTAACCCACATTTAATTTGTCAACTTGTCTAATTAATTGAAAATTAAAAAAAAATCGCTAAATCAATTTACGCACTGTTGACCTCTGTAGTGATTTATTTATTTTTTATAACATTAGTTTGATTCTCTTAACATCTGCAAATTGTTTAGTTAGATTATAATCGATTAAGGGAGTTTTAGAAAATTTTTACTGAGTGGTCAAGTAAATTAAACTATCGTAACTACTTAATTTGTTTTTTCCATAGCAACTGTTAAAATTGCCTTATATCTATCAAAAATAGTAGATAAAATAGTACCTAATTTAACCGCAAGGGTAGATTAAATGATAAATTAACAGCGAGGATGGGTTAGAAACTTTATTTCTTCTCGCACGTTTTTTAATTGCTTCCATTTTTAAAAATTTTTGTATTCCTTTTGTCGCCTCAGCCTGAATATCTGTTGGTAATTTACTTATTTCGTTTTGAGTCCATTTCTGACTCCAATTCAATCAGCAATCGACACGAAAGAGAATTAAAAAATATTGATTCAAAAGGGACAACTAAAAAGACAGTTTTATTAATTTGTCAAATTACATAGAAACCAACACCAACCCAACCTTTTCCTTGTGTAAACACTCAACCGTATTCCAGACAGAAATCTTCGCCATTCTACAATGTGCAAGAGAAAACAATAGAAGAGCTTATTCAGGTAAGCTCATCAATATACGCTCAGACAGTCAGGCGGCACTTGGGGCGCTTGTGAACCCAAAGGTATCGTCGAGACTCGTCTGGGAATGCCTGGGTGACTGGGAGCTCTGGCACGAAGGAACAGAATTAAATTATTCTGGGTGCCGGGCCACAGAGCAATCCAAGGCAACGAAAAAGCCGATGAGCCAACTAGGCAGGGATCATCGGCATCCTATCTTGGTCCAGAGCCAGTACTGGGAATACCCAAATGTATGGCCCGCAGTGCACTAAAACTCTGGATCAAGGAAAAGCATAATGTCCACTGGAGAAATAGACAGGGGCACAGTAAGACTTTTATCCAAGGACCTAGCTCTAAAACCGCAAAAGAACTACTAATGCTTAGCAGGAACAAACTGCGGATTACAACAGGCCTCTTGACAGGACACATGGCTGTCAAATGTTATCTGAACAAGCTCAACCTGTATCAAGGAAGTCTTTGCTGCAGACTCTGCGATAAAGATCCTGAAACAGCGGAGCACATAATATGTCATTGCGAGGCTCTGGATCGCAAGCGACACTCTTTATTTGCGAAAGCTAGGCTAGAACCGGAGGAACTATGCTCCCATCCTATCAAGGACCTGCATAAGCTAGTGCAGGGCACAGGGATAGGAGAATGGGTGCAGATATAGAAGGGGGACAAAGACAATAGGCCTCACAGGTCGCAGTGTTTCCGGCAGAGGACGGCCCCTTGTTATGGAAAAAAAATACCAACCCAGCACAATATTTTTCTACTCGTAATAAATTCCTTGAAATAATAATTTCTGAATATTTTGTAAAACGTAACTCGCTATGGAAAAAATATTGTTTTTTTACACTACGATAAAATTGCATTATCGTCTCCCGAAATTAATTCACTCAAAGACGATAAAATACCATTTTATCGTCTTGTATAAAAAATAACTATTATTTCATCATCATCATTTTCAACCATTTCCAATTATGGTGTAGCCTCCCTGACATATTTAAATACTCTATTTGTAGTTGGATCCATTGTTTTGTCTATTGTTGGCTATGCGAGCCCAAGTTATCCCTGCTAATTTCCTAATATCATGGTTCCATCTCAGGTTTTGTCTTCTCCTAGGTCTCTTAATTCCTCGTTACCATGCTGTAATTTTTGTGGTCCATCTGATGTCCGTCCTTATGCAGATATCCTGCCCATTGTCACATCTATTACCTGGTTTTTTTGTCGTATCCACTCTATT